GACCTTTATGCCTGCTGCTGCGCAACGTCGCAATGCTTTTGGACCGAGGCGCCCGCCATCTGAACCGTGATCGTGCCCTGTATCGCGAAGCGAGCGCGGAGGATCGTATAGCATGCGTCGTTCCTCGATGACCGCCCGAACACGCGCATCTTCCGCGGCAATAATGATAGCACACGGGTTTAAGCAGAACTGAAAAAAAAAACACGTCAGATATCACAAAGCATAAAACAGAGACGCCGAGAGAAAGCAGAGTATATAGTATATATCGAGCCGGTCACGGGATTTTCGACGGACCATTCACGCGCGCGCGTCCGTAGCTTAAGCGGTGCATGCGGAGGAAGCGTGGGGCAGCTTCTTTTTTTTTTTTTCTCTTTTTTTTCAAGGTCGTGGAACCGTGGCCTGAGCGTACACGAATCGTTGGTCAGTGCTCTATGTTTAAGGCCGCGAATACAAGCAGCAGCCTTCACGCGGCGCACGCGGAATCACAGAAAGAGGACGGTGCTTGAGAGAGAGAGAGACGGGAGGCAGCCAGAGTAATCATATAGGAGCGAAAAGGCCGCTCGCACTAACGACTGCGGGGCACAAGGGCTCGGGCCGCGCGGAGGGGGGTGGGCGTTCCCGGAGACCCCGCGCGAGGAAACCCCACGCTCCCGCTTTTTTTTTCCGGACGTGACGCGCCGGCATTAAACGCCAATCCAGCATTACCCTCTTCCATCCAAAGCCTCCATGGTATGCTGGCAAGGTGTCGCGACTGTAACGACTTATTCATGCAAACCCCGAGCAAGCGACGTAAGAAACGCAAGTTGGCGCTCTGCGGTGGCGACGGCTTAACCGAGGATGCCCAGCAGGCTAACGCGAAGGTGTACAGTAGCGGAGAAGACAACGTGAAATGTCGGCCGTATGTCTCCCGATAGTAGTCGTCCGCGTTTATTTCAGTGTCCGATGCGTATTTTGGACTGCTCAGACATGGAAATACATAAACTGAAAAAAAAAAAGATGTCCGCCCATTCACTTGACATCGAAAATAACAAACGAGCAAAAAAAAAAAACGATTCGCACATTTCTAAACTGGGGTAATGTAACCTCAAGGGACACCGACACATGGATAGCTGGATATTTTGTGTTTGGCTCCAAAGCCATTCATCTCGAATGTACTAAAATAGGTTGATGGTGATGCTGATCACGACGAGGAAAAGACACCACGCTTACTGAAGAGACCAAATAAAATTGGTCTTTGCATAACTCATAAAATAGCGAAAACAAAATGGAGTGATCATGAAAGCAGCACAAGGTAAATATGTACATAATTTTCTGTGAAATTACGCTAGTCTATCGCACCATCCTCCTGTTCCCTCCATGTGCCCCGTTTATTGTATTGTTTATGTGCTTTCACATTAAACAGTATTCCATTTGTAAAATTATCCGTAGACGTGAACAAGGCGTATGACGCAACCATTAGTTCAGGTGCGAGTGGATGCGTATCGCTTAATGGCCAAATCGCCGTGTCGTAGTAAGACAGCGGTTATGCGATGCGCCACACCAACGTGCCGTTGACATTTTGAGGACCACGCTTCTCAACGGAACTTTATGAATGACTCTTTTCTGTGTACATGTCTTTGTGTGACTGTGCTTATTATTTGTGTTTATATGTGATCATTGCATATATCAGATTCATTACCTGACACCTATAGAGTAGCAAGCCAGGTGATAACCTAAGCCAACATATCAGGAAACTTCATTTAAGGTTGCTATATCTCTGTACCGGGTGCAGAATAGGTTGGCAAATCTTTCGAGCCGATACGTGTTGCTCAGCGAACGCGAGCGTTGCGTGCAGGTTCCTCGTGGATCTCTTCAAGAACATGTTCGCAAGCATGCCGTTGTGTTTAGATTCCTTCAATATTTGTTTTTAATCACACGCAAGCACCCAAGCTCTGGTTGCCGGTGTAACTTTTCCTCATTCGCCGTCGTTCATTCTAGGATTGATTTATTGATTTGTAGGGTTTAACGTCCCAAAACCACCATATGATTATGAGAGACGCCGTATCGGAGGGCTCCGGAAATTTAGACCACCTGGGGTTCTTTAACGCGCACCCAAATCTGAGCACACGGGCCTACAACATTTCCGCCTCCATCGGAAATGCAGCCGTCGCAGCCGGGATTTGTTCCCGTGACCTGTGGGTCAGCAGCCGAGTACTTTAGCCACTAGACCACCGCGGCGGGGCGCGCTCATTCTGTGCAGGTGATTCAGATTCGCGTACAATATCGCATTACATGCGAGGTTGTCGCTGCTTCCTTATACAGAGTATTGTCTATACGTCCGAATCGCACACATCCTTGTACAGATACTATTAAGAAAGTGATGCCAGCTCACATGTTCAAGTATGCCTGCGCAGTATTATATAGGCTAATGATAAAGAGGAAAGAATTCCGAAAGGTTGCAAACGCGAATTGTGTCTGTTGTGGGGGAACAGATATTGACATTAAACTGCATCTTGTTTTTTTTCCTGCTCCCTGCTGCAGGCATGACGCCGCATACCGTCTGGATAAAGGCCAAGGCGGGGGCGCATTGGGTGGGGCCCGCTTATTGAAATAGCCTGCAATAAATTGCGTCTATACGAAAATACACATGCAAATCTTTTCTTCGTTCTTTATCTACACTGCACAGTCCTTTCACGGTTGAGTGGTCGTGCTCTTTTACACAGCTCAGGCACAATCGATCGATCAATCAATAAATCAATCATTAAGTCAAGCATACAAGCAAGAAACCAGTCAATATAGAAACAATTTTCCAAGGAAAAGCCACACATCGATAGGATGATCATTTATAAGGCTGGGATTTTTATAGCTATTGAAAAAAATTAAATAAATATTGAAAACGCACGCTACACAAAAGAAACTTTCCTGGCGGATCAACGAAAGACTTGTGGGCAACTGAGAACGAGGAAGAGAGATGAGAGGATACAGAAGAGGATGTCAAGCAGGATATGACGCTCCATATCCTGTCTTCTCGTGGTTTTATTGCGAAAGCAATGACATTGACAGCCTCGGCTGCTTTCTGCCGTCACCGCAACCGTCATTCACCGCATATTTATACGTATCTACATATATGAAAACTCGAGAAAGAAAACAAAGACGCCTGCTCTCGGCGCCCAGCTCGTGCCGGTGCGCCGAAGCGCGCTTACCCTCCACGCGTACTTTGCCCCGCGAAAGGGGGGCAAAGTACAGGCAGCGCGTTTAAGATGCTTGTACTTCAATGCTTCAGATGGCTAGCTTCAAATTCCACTATGGAAGTCGCGGAAGTTGACGCAGGGTGCTAATTCGATCGGAATTCGTAAATTAGCAACGACACACCGAATAAATTTCTTGAAAAGGCAGGGAGCGAAAAAAAGAAAATGAATGACGAGAAGTGCTGCGTCAGGGCACGTGCGAGCCTGCGGCAAAATAATTCCGCCAGCGCCCACGAAACACCGCCTGTCGCCGAGCTCTCACATTTTTATCTTCACGCTTTCCCGGCTGAACCCTCTGTCACCGCCCGTCTCGTGCCGGCTCGCTTCTTCATTTACTCTCTCTCTCTCTTTCTCCCCTTCTTTCTCTTTTCGTGAGGATGGGAAAACATACAACGTAGAAAGTGTATGGTCGCCTTGCAATGGGCGACTGAAAGAAAGAAACGTTACACGTATAAGGAGAGGATCAAACAAGAACCGGACCTCTGGGCCGAGGTACAACACCATAAATCATTCATGGTCTTCGAGCAAGAAAAGTCGAGCGGCATAGTTTCACCGTAGGAGTCTCCGCAGAACACCGAAGAGAGCTCGGCCGGAAAGGGTAGGAAGGGGAGGAGGATGAAGTGGAGGAGAGAAGGCAGTTTTGTTGCCCGCGGGGGCCTCATGGGGTTAGACCAGAATTTTCATTCCTCCGCATCACGGGCAATCCGTCACCCACGTGCGGTCCTTTTCCCACCGCCAGGGCGGCGCAGCGTGCCGACTTAAGCCAACCTAAAAAAATAAAAAAAAAGAGCGAGGAAGTTCATCAACTTCGCCATGCAAATTCCGTGCGTGCGCACGTGAAAAAGCTGTGGACAGGCGCCCCTTATTTTTCTGGAGGTGTTCAACAATTGGAAGTGCACTCTTGACACTCGCAAGCTGTGTTAAGAGTGCAACTGTGCCAGCAGAAAGCGAGAATGGACATTACATGACGGCGTGCCATGTATTCATGAAATTGGTTTGTGTGATCATAACAGTATGCTTCCAGATTGGAGTGTGTAATCTAGCTCCTGTTGCTCTTACAACACAGCCGTGAAATGATTGAGGGGATATTTTTTTCAACTTGCTGTTTATTGACTTAATGGAACCCTCAACTCCCGTCAGTGCCTGCGTGTTAAATTTGTTCTTAAGCAATGCTAAAGCTGTTTCCCTATAGGAAAAAAATGCTAGTAAAATGTATATGTTGCGGCGTATAATCGCATTATTAACCAGAACATAAGGGCAAACAAATGCTCGTATACAATGGACTTACAATAAGGCACAAGTATCATAAGTATGTTACGATAAGTATTATGTCGCGTTGTTTACTTGAACAGCAGACTGTTGTTTTTTTTTACACGCACTTGTCAATAAACAGAACAAAAAACAACCAAAAAATACAAGAAATGACCCTTGTGAACGAAACGCTGAGTATAACAACGTTCACATATTGTGCTTCTTTCCATCGTTCACGGTATGTGTTGAGAAGCCTGTCAATCGACGTTCGTGCAGTAATGACCTCTTAACTCGCTCCTCACGCAGTCCTCAAACCTCGAGGAATATAGGTGCGGTCGTTAAAAGCTAGTCTTCTTTTCATGGATATTATAAATAATGACGTGGCGGAAACTCCGCAAGGGCTCCAGAGGCGAAACTCGTGAATACCAGTGTCACTGGAAGCAGTAAACTTTGCCTTACAGTATTACCTCACATTGACGAGCGACCTCTTGCAAGATATCCATGTTTCCTTTCTGTTTTCAGGAACATGAACAATGAAAGAGTACCACCCGGGTCAAAGCCGATGCACGGACCAAGAGAGTCCACTCCCACCTCGGCCCGGCTGCGAAGGATTAAAGGGTCCGCCGACCTGCAAAGTGAAATAAATGTTCTTACTTCCCTCTTCAAGTTTAATGAAACGGCAATTTCTTGACAACGTCGACCCGACGGTAAAGTGTCCTCCAGGCACATTCTGGCGGATTCTTTTACTTCACTGTTCCCCCTGAATACGCTGCTTTCCCGTTCACGTCCTGTGACCCATAAAGGGTGACAGTGAAGTATGGGACGTCCTCTCGCGAAACTGCTACGGCAGGCGGATTGGCGACGTTGACTGATGCTACTCGACGGTGAATGAAGGCTCTGCGCTAAGTACTAGCCTCGCCAGATTTCTTGCCCAATCGAGCAAAGGTCCCGACGACAGGAGGCTCGTCGCTATGAAAGCTTCACGGAGTTATATGTATATGGTATATCTATTTACTTCATAAAGCAACGGCAGCAATGCGTTTCACGTTCGCCACTTAGCTGCGGTACAAGAGAAGCAAGGGATCGGTTGGCGCGCAACATGCGTAAAGATGAAAGACGCCTCACGTTCTAAAGCTAACGTCTTGTAGCCGGAGAGCTTAACTATGGAAGGGGTTCCTTATTTCGAAGTGCTCCTGAGACTTTGAATTCGTGAACAAGAAAAAAAAATAAACGACTGACAGCGAACATTTTTGTTTTAATCAGAGGATCAGGAAGCGCGTAATAACACGAGGAAAAAAGAAAAGGATGTTAGTTAATGTTTCCCGGCTTCAGGGTTAGCGGTTACACGTGCACGCACGCACGCACACACATACACACAACACACACTTAAAGGTGGTTTTGTGGCCGGGACCTTTCTGTTTTGATAAATCAGCTACACCACTTTTGTGCGTATCATATTCACACGTCCGGCTTACGTAAGAGCTTACGGGCGCCGCATTGCAGTCACAAAGATGGACGTTACATGTACAGGACTTACACACGATCAGCTGCATAATATGTATCGACAATAAAGGAAAGAAGCTGCGTTCTCCACTTCTGCGCGGGACCTCCACCGCCACGAAGCGCAAGCTGCAGGTATACACTTCATTCACTGAAGTCGGTTGCTTTTTCGTTTACAAGAAGATAAAGGGGGAGGTTGTGGGGGGAAATACGTGTGGAAAGAAAAGACGAAAGAAGTGCTGATCATATCTACAGCCTGTAAGCTCACTGCCAAGGTCAGAGTTTGAACGGTATACAGAAACCTGGGCGATCCATCATAAGCAGCATGCTGTCGACCGCAAGGCCGGCTTCGTTTCATCTGTCCCTCGCGAACCAACGCGAACCTCACTGCCTTTGGCCTCCAATACGGATTCAAGCGAGGCACGCCGGCCTTTGCCGCGACGCTAGTGGTCTGAATGCCGCGGCCCGTTGCGGCCGGCAGCAGAGGTTGTCGTTCCCCGCCATTGCCGCGCTTCATCCATTGTGGGTCACATTCGTTCCAGTCGGGGAGGAAGACCGCCGGCAGCGCGCCCACTGCTCGGAACATGCTCCGCCCTATACCGTACCTCTACTGGAAGGTCCGCGGACAGTGCTCCGAATTGCGATGCCAGTTGGCCGACATTCTGTGCACACGCGAGCCTGACACTAACCGACGTTACTTTTGGTTTGGATCGTATAGTATAATGGAGAACATGCGCCGCTAGTAAGAAGATTGCTACGTTCGTGCTTACTAGATGCGAAGTAGTGTATAGTCTGAAAGGAGGTCAGACGGACAGTTTCTTGGCGTTGCCATCTGTATAGGAAACGCATAGTAATCGGATGCGTCTGGACGCGTAGGTTTGTATTAGAAGCGACGTCTTCTATCGGCAGCTCGATTCAGAACGGGTTGGGAAACGATTATATTGTGGACAGGAGATTGGTACGAAGGTTCAGGCTATTGTCCTTCGATTTCGCATAGCTATATACTGGTAAGAGGTAAGAGGGACACTTCAAAAAGGGCACAGCAAGGTGATTCGAGCTGGCTGTTTAACTAGGTAGCAATTTTAAACAACAGAATTTTAACAGCTACAGGCGGAAAGCTCTGACATGACACGCGCCTTCAAACTGTCGGTGTAGCAAGAATATATGCATGGATTTTAACGTGAAAGCGTTAAAGAGCTCGTTTTGCAGAAATTCCGGCGTCGGCATTGGTGTCGTCATTGTTGGTTGTGAGCTAAAAATCATCTCTTTATGCGTGACTGAAAAATAGAGAACGACGCAAATGAAGTAAATGGTTTTAAAAAATCCTGGGCTGGAGTGGGAATCGAAACCTGGTCGTGTGGGGGTCCAGCGGGGATCCAACTTGGGTCGTTTGTGTGGCAAGCGGCTGCTCTACCACAAAGTCATGCGTTTGCTTTTTTTTTCTTTAGTGCACGCTTGTGAATACAGTGAAAATAACTTCGTCAGCTTGGAAATGCAGTGAAACTAACTTTCAGGCTTTGCAAACACACGCGTCATGCATGGCTCGCAATACAACATGAACTATCGCACTAATAATGCGTTGTACAAGCGCCCATTTCCATTGGGTGTCAGAGCATCTCATTATCATAATAACTTCGTGATTTAAAGCCAGTCACCCACTACAAAAGGCACACACGCTACTGCGCTTATTCCCTCAAGGCCACGTAGTGAGTGCAGTAAGTTCGAAAAGGTTTCATGCACTAAGCGTTTGAAGTACGCGCTAGAAGCTGGATATCACTATCGCGTTCAACTCTTGAAGGCGAAGCTTCGGGGTCTCCCCATTTTCGCTCGTGCCTTTAGTCGGAGTGTCCACTGAATTTCGAGTGAAGCTCGCCAAACGACGAGCGAAATGTCGGCAAAAGTTGCCATTTTCCTTCAAACTTTCGCCAAAAAGTCGCCACGTTACATTCGTGTGGTGTGATAAAACTTCCCGATGATGTATAGCCCCTTGAAGTACGGTGTACCATCCATAAACCCTTAATTATATTGAGGGTCTTCAATGGCAGTCGCATCGCCCGATTCCCCACGGGAGCACTGAGAAAAGGCGTGCATGCACTATAGCAGCGTCCTGAATGCTATAGCGCTTCATAACAAAAGTTTGTGGTGGTTTCAGTTGTAGTGAATACAGGATGAAGCAGTCGCTACAGCAAAAAAACGTTACCGTGTGTATTCTTACACTGCAGATTCAGAGAATTTCGATGAGGTGGCATGTTGTGTCCAATAATCAAAGAAATTATTTACAAAGCAGTGAAAATAAATTCGAAAGTGCTGCGTAAACATCGTAATCCCCGCCCCACGCTTTCTGTGTGGTCATAAGTATGTATACGCTATACATTCCTCTTACTGCAGTTTTAGAAGGTTCCCAGATAAGCCAGATTTCTTGGTCCAACTGAACAGTATATATGTTATGGCAAATTTAAACTCGACATACCAGACTAGGAGGTATTATAGCAAGGAAGATAAGGTCACAATATTTCATATACATACTCCATAAACCTCAGAAATTCAATAATCGAGGCAAGCAATCATTACGGTTTGGGAACGTGAAACCCTGACAGTTATTAGGCAGTTAAAGCCGCTGTCGGTTGCAAAGGCGCCCGCAGGAAGTAGTATTCTCTCTGTAGATGGATTGTCAGAAGGCAATAAAGGAAGTGTGCTTCGAGCCACCGCATGTGACGTAATGTTCTTGGAGGTACGGATATTCCGTGTCAAGGGTAATTGACTCTCGCTTGTATTACGTTCGTTATATGCTAAATTCTGACACAGAGAATCGTGTTCGAACGACAAGAAACGGTCTGCAATGACCGTTGGACAGATAACGGTAAGATAATAATACGTTATGCATTAATACAAAATGAATGGAAGATAACGGTGAAGCAACTATGTGACCGCTATTCAGATAGAGATAAATTGTCTAATGAACAGGGCGCATAATTTAAACGTGATTTCCCACAGCATTTTCCCCTTGTGCTTCACAATGTGATGTCCCGTGGAATACGTAGGGATAGAAAGCCGGATGTTATAATCCTGGTAGGCGTCCCTGCCTTTTCTTTCTTTTATCTCGCTCTCTGTGAAAGTCATACGCAGTAAGCCCACTGTCTTGTATCAATAACTAGCTCTTTTTTTTTAATTTGCTGTTACGTCCATACGAAGGGTTCTTCAGCTACAGCACAGTGAAATGAATAAACTTTGTAAGAGAAAGAGACTCACAGAAAGGCGTAATATCCAAACGAACACATTTATAGCCGAAATTAGTGGCTATGAATAGATCATAAATGACCGGTGGACATCAAAGTAAATTACAGAGTGGCCATATATACTCTATACGCTTCCTGGGCGGTTGAAGGGAGCCGTAAAAGTAATGCTAAAGAAACAAAATGTCGTCAATTAACTATTCATGCAAGCAACACGAAGCTAGCTAACAAACGCTACACTTTCTTTCCTTTTTAATAAATTCAGCGCAAATTTCCGTGTAAAAAAACGCGCTGCCTTGACAAACTTGTAGATAACTTAGAAGTGTGGCAGCTTGGGCTAGTTGGTATGGCATGACGATCGTTATAGCGCGAGAACAGAACGACGACACAGAGACCATCGTGTCCTTCGTGTCCTTCTTGTCTCTGTGTCGTCGTTGTGTTCTCGCGCTGTAACTATCGTAGTAGATAACGTCAGCTTAAAGCAAGAGATCTGCTTTCTGTGATGACAATTGTCAAGTCCGTCGAGCGTCTTTCATACCGATTTTCTTCGTATCACAAAATTGAATATAATCCTTTATAGAAGGTGCACGTGCGAAATTTTCCACACACTTCACAACTTCTGGTCATTCCTATATGCGCGAGGACTCGTGTTTGGTTAGCTGCAAGCTGAAGACGGGACAATTCCGCCTTACTTAAACCAGACACAACCGAGAACATCTTCCAATATGAATGCTGTGAGCTGTACAAGTTTAAAGTGCTTTTTTCGCTCTTTCTTTTAGTCCGCATCAACGTATATTAGCAGTGTGCGTATAGTAACGTCCACCAACATATACCATTACCTCCATCACCGTTGCACCACGCTGCTCAACTCAGCTACACAAAACCCTACGCAACGGCTTCTTAATGTACCCATTGTTTTACTGTATACAGCACTTCAAG